AGAACCTGCTCCCAGTCGCAGCGGAGCCCAGCCCTTGCCATGACCACCAAACAAGCCAAGAAGAAAGAGGTGCATGGTATCACTTCGGTGCATAGCTCGGATAAATCTAAAGAGTAAGGGACCTCTCCCGGCCCATCCACCCCTAGCCTAACCCCAGTCCACGGGCTGCTTTCCTTAACAAACGGCCAGAGCTGGATTTTAGCGGGCGTCCTCCCAGCTTCTTTATCTTCTGTGGGAACTCAGATCGGGAGATGGAGATTCTTGCTTCCTATTCCTCCCCCATGCCAGCTTCTACCCACCTCCTCCCCCAAGATCCTAGTTTCTCTGCTTCCGCTGCTGGTGTGTGTGTGTGTGTGTGTGTGTGTGTGTGTGAGAGAGAGAGAGAGAGAGAGAGAGAGAGAGAGAGAGAGAGAGAGAAGAGAGAAGGAATCTTTAACTTTAAATGATAATTCCCTAGTTTAGGTCTGCCCCCATCTGTAGTTACTAATGTTTACTCCAAGAAATTATACAGAACCTAGCTTATGGAATCTATATGTCTCTCTATCTGAGGTGTCTGTGTATGTACCTCCTTATTATTTTTTTCCCTTTGGTCTTATTTTTTTCTCTAGAAATGCCCAGTCACTGATGGCACAGACTTCAGGCTATCATTTGAAGTTACAAAATTGCTAACTTATATTCCAGTTATGAGAGAGTGCCAGCTGCCAAATGTCCCTTAGTGGGATCACTCATGTTCTGGATTCTCACATTTGGATGCCTATTTCTTCGCCTCCTTCCTTGCCTAAAAATTCCCACATTGGACTTCTGTTCTGGTCCCTAGTATTTTTCCTCCCTAATCTTCTCTCTCATCCTCATTTCTATATTTGTGATTCCAGATTCTCTAGTTTCTAGTTCTGTCATAAGCAGGCCTCCTGCTACCTGGCAGATAATACATTCATTTTTAACATAATTTTTAGATAATGTATTACATACATAAATACAATTTTAACAAGATCACTACCCTGCTAATGGCTCCCATTCATATAGGTCCAAGACCTACAAGTCCCTATAAGATCAAGCCCCTATTACTTTTCTGGCTTTACCGTCCCTTGTTCACATACTAGCTTCCTCTGCCCTACAACACCCGGGGCTTGTGCCTATCCCAGGGCCTTTGCACTGGCTGTTTCCTCAGCTGGGAAGCTCTTCCTACCAGATTTCTATGCTCTCCTCCCTCACTTCCATTAGGTGTTTACCTAAATGCTATTTCCCCATGCCAGCTTCTTCAGCCAATTGGTTTAAAATCACAACCACTTTTCTGCCCAAACCAAAAAAACTCCGTTTCCCTTCTTCTGCTTTTTTCTTCATTATTTTTTTGCTCATTTAACATGCTATATATTTCACTTTTTAAAAATTTTGATTTATGTGTCTTCATAATAGAATGTAAGTTTCATAAAGGCAGGTCATTTTCCATTCCTAACCATTGAATTCTTAATACCTCGACTGATTCCTGGGTCATACCTAGTAGATACTAAGAAATACTTATTTAATGAATGAATGACAGTGATTAAATAAGAAGTCATAAAATTATTGCAAAATAATTTTAATAGACTAAAAATAACTAAGTCAATTATGGTTAGCATTAATGCACATTGAAGGCTCATAACTCTTAAGGAATTTGGGAAAAAATGTTTGACTTTAAAGAGTTTATATCCTGGAAGACATGAGATTCCTAATTTCTATCAGAAACTGATCAAACCAGATACCATAAACACAGTAGTGGCTTGGTCCTGTGATGGTTGATAATGCCCCTGTGGTAAGATGCTCTTTCCTTGCCTATACTTCTTATATCTTTTTGAGATGATAATATTATTTCTAAAATGTTTTCTTTTCCAGAAAATATCTGAGTTGAATTATGTCAATAAAAACGAATGTGTATATTTATGGAAATGGAAGAGTAAAGGCTAATAGTTATACAAAACCTACGCTTTGCTAGAAACTATCTACTGAGCATTAAACATCAAATCATTAGGTTTTGTTGTAGCATTGTATGACAGATTGTCAAGTTCATGATAAATCAAGTTTTTCCTCTAAGTTCCACTGGAGGACTGATCATAGATAGCAGCACAGTCATCAGTAAAGATAAAGTGTTACCCAGCGCGGGGCCCAGAGAGCAAAGCTCAGCAAGGCTCTGCTGTCACTGTCATTTGAATATACGGGGGGCATGTAGAGTGAGCTTTTATTATAACACCTTGTAGTTATGTATCCAATAAGTGCAACTAACTCTACCTAACTGGATACAGAGAAAAAAGAAAAAGTCTTCAGAGTCTTGAAAATGGCCATCCCAGGGAGTCTCATTCTCCTAGAGCTGCCATCTATAGCATATATCTTTCTTCCCTAAAATGATGTGTCTGATTGGGAACACGGACCATGTCTGGCTTTTGCCTAGCATGTGGCTAGCACATAATAAGCAGTTACCATTTGCTTGTTAAATGAGTTCACAGTTTAGTTATAGCCAGCTTGGTTTTCATTCTTTCCTATTTTGATTGAGGCCCAGTTCTCCCTTCCTGTCTGATTCACTGTTGGCAGAGTAAAATAAAACTAAGATGTTACAACTGAGAAAGCAAAATTATCTATGTCCAGTTGTGACCAAATTTGTAAATAATTATGACTTTAAATCCCCAAGAAAAATTATGCCAGGTAACTGAGCTGTCAGTTTTACACCAAATTGTCATATTTCTGCTTTAGTTATTCTCTATTTCTCTGTATTTGGGAAGAATAAAATGTACATTATAGGGTTTGCTTTGACACCAATTTTGTGATATTGGACATGTCGTTTTTCTATTTCAACATTCAGTTTTCTATTCTTTAAACGAAGGGCTACCTAATTAAAATCACTACCAATCCAACATTTTCTGTCCTCTCTTCTCTGATTTATTTTTTCCCTCTAAACTTTCATGAGTTTCATTATATGTATAGTTTTACCACCACTGTGTCCATGATAAGTGAGGGGAATTTTGCTATAGTTAAATATTTAAAACTTTGAACTATATGTCATGGACAAGCACAGATGATTTTAAATATCAAAATGATGAATTATGAGCTATAATTTGAAAACTGCATGGAATTCATACTGGATAAGAATCAGGGTAGCAAGAAATTGGTGGTGGTCTGAGAGCAGGGATGGCTGATTCTGGCAACTTTCAATGATAGGAATATTTTTAAATGGGGGGAAGTAAATGGGTGCAGAGCAGACCTGTAAGGTGATTGTGGTCAAAGCCTACAGGAGCCAAATTTCTGATCTTCAATTGAAGTGGCAAAATGTGCTCTAACGTCCAGGTGATGATGCCACCACATCTAAAAAGACAAAAAATTGAATAGTATAGATAAAATTTAATTACAATTTTCTAAATGTCTCACCTTATTTATTTTTGCATTCTCTCCAGGGCCCAGCACAATGTGAGTTTAATAATGGTGTGTAATTTAATTGAGCTGAACTGGAAACCTGGTATGGCAGCTCGGCCATAAAACCCTCTGACTCAGAACCAGACAGGACTGGAAGCCGGAGGGAAGGGGCCGTCAGTCACTTCAGGGATGCAGGGCAGCACTTGGCATGGATGAGGGCACTGTAGAAATGTCACAATATTTAAATGTAAAAACTGAGCCCCACAGCCCTGTTTAATAAGGTTAGCTGTAGCCCCTTCATCTTAGTGGGGTCTGCCTTCAGGTCTTCCTTTGGAATAGTCTTCATCTGAACATTTATTCAACAATTTATTAAAATTTGACACAGTTTAAGAATCGTCTCTGGCAGTAAAATACTTCTTTTTAATCATTCAGTTTTTAGTCTGTTTAGTTAAAATGGTTCCAAATTTACTCTGCAGCATTTTTAGTGTAGTAGACATTAGATTAAAAAGACTTAAATTTATAAACTCGTGGAATTTGTACTTTATTATTACCTAAAAATATAATCAAACTCATACTTTGAAACAGTATTGTTAATGTTTCTAGATTTAGCAAATTAATATTGCCTCAATCCGAAATGACTATTTAAAAAATATTTTGACTGACTTTAATATTTCTTTGACATTTCCAGGTCACAGATTATTTAAATCAAAGGCTTAAATAATCTGTAAACTGGTCATGCCACTTAATGTGAGATAAAATTATTAAAAACTGTATCCAAGATAGATTAAAAATACACCTCTAAAATGACTTGTGTACTTTGTATAATAGGAAAGATTTCTCTTTCATTTTTACCCTTGACAGAGAAGGTACACATATGTTGTGAAAAGTAACCAATCACGTGCATTAAATTTTTTTTAACATTCCTTCCCAAGGTCAGTCCAGGCTAATTAATTCCAGGTTCTGGGGCTATAACTGTGTTAATTTTGTATGGCTGAATTAACATATGATACATTTTTAAAGTGAACAAATATTTAAATTTTGTATGTTCTTTTTTGCTGGTGTCAAAATGAATGCAATAGTATGAATATTTTGTAATTATACTTAGTCCATCCTTCTGACCTGATGACTACCAAAAGTTCATATATTCCCTCAGTTAAAGTTCACAGGAGCTCAATGTGCCCTTCTGCCCCCATTCCCTCACTCTAATCTTCAGTCCAGGGTTGGGCCTTCCATCCACCCTTCCACACTCTCAGAGGTCAGGGTAAACTCCAGGCCAATTCTCCTCATCGTCACTTTCCGCAGCACTTGTGCCTGAGAAACACCGCTTAGGAGGGTGTTCAGAGGAAACATATCGAAGCTGAGAGGAGGACATGTATCTGGGTTAGTTACCTATTAATGAAAACGAGCACAGGTCACCAAACCTTGTGGATACCCTGGCAAAGGGAGAGAAAGCAGGGAGAACTGTAAATGTTCTGCTGGCTTTTGCCCCACGTCTGAGTCACAAACACAATGAGACTTTAACCAGGTCAGGCCAAGGTCAAAAGTGAAGGCTGGACTGATCACACTGCCAACAGAGCCCTTTCCGCATGCCATTATACCCCACTGGAAATTAGAGGCAAAACATTCAAGGAGGACAAACAAGCTGCAGCTCGGGGAATTTAGGACCGGTTTCACCATAGACAAAGAATGCGCTTATGAGGAAAATAATTTGGAGTTGTGTAAAAAAAAAGTTCAT